GAGGAAAGCCATCAGTCCCCCAGGAGCACCAACAATGGATTATTATGCGAGTGAGAAATAAACATACGTGTTGGGACGCCTGGGTGGCTCAGTTGGTTAAGCGGCTGCCTTCGGCTCAGGTCATGATCCCAGCGTCCTGGGATCGAGTCCCACATTGGGCTCCTTGCTCGGCGGGGAGCCTGCTTCTCCCTCTGCCTCTGCCTGCCTCTCTGTCTGCCTGTGCTTGCTCACTCTCTCTCCCTCTGTCTCTGACAAATAAATAAATAAAATCTTTAAAAAAAACCACTTATATGTGTTAAGGTAATAACACTTGGGTTTTGATCATAGTAGCTACCGTAATTCTAATCCGTACGGCATCTTTGAGTATGGATAGGATCCCTGTCTTAACTCACTGTGTCACAGAAGAAGAGTTGTCAAGGTGGTAAGATGGTCAGCTATTGTGTAACCAATGACCCTAAAGCATAGTGGCTTAAAACACACGTTGATTCTCTCACAGTTTCCTTGAAAAAGGAAGCCAGGCATGACTTTCGCTGGGTGCCTCAGCTCCCGTAAGGCTGCCAGCAAGCGGCTGGCCAGAGCTGCAGTGATCTGAAGGCTTTACAGGAGAAGAGTCATCTTCCAAATGCACTTATTTAAGCTGTTGGCTGGGTTGGGATCCTTGTGGGCCTGTGGCTGGACACATCAATTCTTTCCACATGGGCGGCTCCCAGCACGGTACCTGACTTCCTTGAAAGTGAGTAGGCAAGAGAGGGTACCTAAAATGGAAGCCAAACTCCTTTTGAACCCCGTATTATTGATGATGTCCCTTCTTTTTGTATTTGGTTACTTAGAAGTGGTCATGAGGTCCAGCTCATTTCCAAAGGCAGAGGATTACAAATGGGTATGAATAACGGGAGGCAAGGTCATGGGGAGGCATGTTAATGGCTGCTTACCACAGTCTGCTCTGGCTGACTCCTTGCTGGTTCATGTCATTTTATTTTTATTTTTTAAAAAGATTTTATTCATTTATTTGACAGAGAGAGATCACAAGTGAGCAGAGAGGCAGGCAGAGTGGCAGGGGGAAGCAGGCTCCCTGCCGAGCAGAGAGCCCAATGAGGGCTCGATCCCAGGACCCTGAGATTATGACCTGAGCTGAAGGCAGAGGCTTAACCCATGGAGCCACCCAAGCACCCCAGTTCCTGTCTTTTTACTTGGAAAACATACTCATCCCCTTTCAAGGCCCTCCCCATGTCTCATCTCATTATAGCACCAGCTCAAGGTTACGAATCTTGTCCTCTGAATTAGGTTTGGGTGCTGACAAGGCTCATAAGGTGCTGTCCCTTAAGGACAGTTCCTCTTGATCTACAGATCTCTGGACGTAGCGCCTTATCTGCTACCCCTGCTCCTTGTCTCAGGCAACAGTGAAATCACGGGTACATAGCAGTTTGGAAATCTGGTCAGAAAAATGTTTGGAAATTCCTTGATTAGGTCTCAAGGCCTGGGAATAATTCACATTCTGATATCTCAGTTCTGCCACGTGTTTGCAGCTCAGTAGTTTTCTAACCTTGCTTGCTGGCATTTGAATTTTTTTAATCCAGTCGTCTCTAGCTTGTATTTTCTGCCCCTGTTCACTCCCAGCTGGCAGTATATCTACTGAGCTAATTCTCTTGAACACTTTGTGGACTTTGTGTGAATTCCACTGGGCTTCACCCCATTGCACAAAAGCCACAGCCATGTATCATTAAATAGTACTCCAAGATACCAGTTTTAATCTTTCTGAGGTTCCAGCAGATTCTACAGTCATACTTTTTTCCTTCTAGATCAGTTCCCGAGCAGTACCCTGGGTTTTATCTCTGCTTGGATGCCATTTCTTGATTTTTAGCATCATCTGCCATCTAGGGAGGCTATAGATACTCAAAACCATCAAGTCCTGGCTTCTTGCGAATAGTCCTTCCCTCAATTTCTCTCTGTCCTTTGCATGTTTCTATAAGCAGCAAGAAAAAAAAAAGCAGGAAACATTTTCAACATGTTGGTTAAAATCTCCTCAGATCACCCAGGTCTACTCTCCACATTAATTGCAAATAGTAGGGTTGCTGAACTCTCTGTTCCTACATAACAAAACCCCTCTTTCTTCCAGTTTCTAACAAGGTTTGTCCTCACTTTTTTTTTAAAGCCTTCACCAGCACTTAAAGTTCAAAATTTCTGACTGATCTTTTATTCATGCAACTATTGGGCGAATTCCAGGCATCCCAGCTAAGGAGGAATTAAGGCTTCTTGGGGCGCCTGGGTGGCTCAGTCATTAGACATCTGCCTTTGGCTCAGGTCATGATCCCAGCCTCCTGGGATTGAGCATGGAGCTCCCTGCTTGGCCAGAAGGCTGCTTCTCCCTCTCCCACTCCCCCTGCTTCTGTTCCTTCTCTCTCTGTGTGTCTCTCTCTGTCAAATAAATAAATAAATAAAATCTTTAAAAAAAATTAAGGCTTCAGCCGCTACTATCTCTGGGTAGGCAGAGTTTGGACATGAAGTTCAGCCAAGCGAGCCACCTACCAAAATGCACTCAAGAGTAAGTGGACATATGCAGTGAAAGACAAGAAGAGAGAAACCAGTAAGGTACAGAAGACAGAAGATTAACAGAACCAGAAGCCCTGTCTTTGAAAAGATGCAGAAAGTATCCAATCCTCTGAGGAAAGAAAGGAGGTTTTTTTAAGCCAACTGAACACACCCACAACAATAACAAAACGGTAAGAAAAGAATGCAGAATAGAAAAGGGCAGTGACTTTAGACATGATGGAGAACTGAACACCCAATTATACAGTTATTAAGTATGAAATCTAAATGAAGGGGATAAACTGTCTGAGAAACATAATTGCAAGAAGACATACAGGAAATATTACTTTTTAAAGATTCATTTATTTTAGAGAGTGAGAGCATTTCTATGAGAGAGAGGACTGGGCACGAACTAAGACAGGACACATGCGCGCACACACACGCACACACACACATGCACATACACACGCACACATGCACACACGTCGCAAGTCACAGAAGTGCACAAAACATCTGGCAAAACCAAGTCCTCCCTCACCTCCTATTCCTAAGGCTCCGCCCCTGGACCCTAAGCCCCGCCCGCTTTCCGCGCGCCTGCGCGCCTGCGCGCCGCACGCCTCCTGCGATCCTATAGGCTCAGGGGCGGGGGAAACCCGGCCTCTGCGTTGTGCGGCTCACGGCGGCGCCTGCGCACTCGAAGCCTGGAGGGGGCTCCCATAATCCTCAGGGCTCGGCTCCCTTCAGGGAGGCGGCGTGTACTTGGGGCACCCAGAGCCAGGCCTGAGAGGCTCCCGCGCGGCACTGTCCCGCGCCAGCCGGCCTCTACAGGGGGCTGAGGGTAGCAGTCCCCAGCCCTCGGTGGGCTGGAACGAAGCTCGGCAGCGCGTCGTCCAGTCTGGACTACCGTCCCCAGGGGCCCCTGCGGCGCAGGACACGCCCACTTCCGGCGGTGACAGGGAGTGCGGGCGAGAGCGGGCGGGCGGCTGCTGAGGGGAAAGTCGTCTCGCGCGGGAGCCGGCAGCTGACGGCGTGACTGAGAGGAGCGGCCGCGCGCGTCCGGCAGCCCGTGGGCGAAGGGGCGTGCGGGAACGGATGACGGCGCGAGGCAGTGCTCCGGACAGCCTCCCGAGGGAGGCCAGCCCTGCGCAATCCCGTTGGGGCCGTGAGGCTGGAGGGGTGGACCGGGACTGAGTGCACAGGTGAGGGTGACAGGTGGCTGGGGCGCGGCGGCGCGAGTGCCGGAGGAGGGCGTCCCCGGCTGTGGGGGCCGGCGGACCCAGGAGTCCAGGGTCGGGGGTCCCTGACCTGTCCACGGGGTCGAGGAGGGGTCCCCGGGCCCGGAGCGTGCGGCTGACCCGTTCGGAGAGTCGGGGGTGGGAACTCGCAGGGCCCGGAGCGTGCGGCTGACCAGAGAGCGTGGGGTAGGCGGGTCCCCGGGCCCGGAGCGCGCGGCTGACCTGCAGAGAGTCCGGTGACCGGGTCTGAGTCTTGGCCCCCGGGTCATTGTGCGGTGGGGCTTGTGGGTGACAGGATGTTCACAGCCTCCTCTGAAACGGAAAGGGATCCCCAGCTTTCCAGGGCGAGGTCGCGGAACGCCTCCGGTTCTTGCCCCGCAGCCCTCTGCCGCCCCCACGTCCCTGCCTCCGGAGTGAGGACAGACGGCGGGAGGAAGCGCTCTGTGTCGCGCTGTGGCTCGCAGCCGCGCTCCTCTTCGCTGGTTGCGCTGAGTGACACCCGACGTCCCGGGAGCACACCGCGGAGCGCGAGCTGCGTCGTTTGCACAGAGAGGACCTACCTGAAGGGTGCAGAGGGCAGGTGACCGCCGGCGAGTGGGGGAGCCAGGATCCGGATGCGGCACCGGCTGACGACTCTCACGTAGTCCCCGCTACCTCTGCTTGAGGTCAGTGTCCGGAACCATTCGCGCAGCTGAAAACGCGACCCTCAGAGGGTAAATGACCTCAAGGGTCGAGACCCCAACTCCCCCCCCCACCAGCAGGTTTCTGTTTCCCGAACTCCGACGGAAGAAACTTGGCTCAGAGTGGGCAGGGGCTCCTTGAAAACTAGTTTGTCACAGAGCAAAGTGGGTCTCTTGATGGTTACTTTTGGTCCAGCGTCTGTAAGCCATGGGGACCCCTTGTTGTAACAGGTAATGCTTTCCTTCGGGCGAGGCTGCTTTTCCCAGGCGTTGACAGTGGACGGTGGCTTTGAGAGAGGAGGTGCGCCCGGCCTGCAAACCCGCAGCGGAGCCGCCCGGCTGTAGAGTGTAGGTGTCCCAGGGAGTGCCTGGACTGCGGGGATAGCGGGTGGGGGAGGGGAGGCGAGAACCGGGGGAGCTGAAGGGAGGCATTTCTAGGCAGGAATATTACAGCTACTCAGCTTCTCAGAACTCCTTTCTCCTGTCCTCCCTCTGCCCTCTCAGGGTAAAGCCCTTTGCCTAATGAGGAGCCCGGAAGAGGAGGAGGTGATGGGAGTTGAACTTCTTAAAGCCACGCCCCTGGTGAGTGAGTATTCCCTCCTTCCTTCGTAAAGTACGGTCTTGCTTTCCAGGGTTTGGTAATGCTTGTTTCCTTCTGAAGAGCATCTGCTGAAGACTTCGATCCTGGGCCTGTTTCCTATTTCCTCCCTTTCCGATGAGTGATGGGACCACAGAGACAGACTCAGATAACCCAGTGCCCTCTCAGAGCTTCCTCTTCTCCTTACAGCTGTTTAGTCTTCATTCAAGAAATGACCCACTCTGAGCTTGTCGGTCTGTGTTTTCTCATAAGTATATGACAACACAGAAATACAGTCCTGAGAGAAAATTTGAGAGCCATCATCTGCCCACTTCCTTAGTAGCCATCCTGGCTGGCTGGCTGGCTGGCTGGCTTGCTTTCTTTTTTAAAGATTTTATTCATTTATTTGACAGAGAGAGAGACAGCAAGAGAGGGAACACAAGCAGGGGGACTGGGAGAAGGAGAAGCACGCCTCCTGCAGACCACGGAGCCCCACGTGGGGCTTGATCCCAGGACTCCAGGATCATGACCCAAGCTGAAGGCAGACACTTCATGACTGAGCCACCTGGGCACCCCACCATCCTGGCTTTCATAGAGCTTATAATCTGTTGGAGAAATGAAAAGGCAGGAAACATTTATTTATACAGTGTGATCAGTGCTGTAGCTATAGAACTAGACTTGCTGTGGAGTAATGGGGAGGGACCATTCACAGGCCATCTAAGTACCTTTGGGTAAGTTAGGAAAAGGTGTTCCTTCTGGAGTGCTGAAGCTCTGTGACACACCACAATCTACTTTATTTTTAGCTCCGTTTTGCCTCCTTGGTGAGAGATCTTGAATAGCATGTAGCCTACATAATCATACTCACTGTTGAAGGGAGGAGGGGTTGGGAGCTGTGATTCCTGAGTTGTATCTTGAAGGAAGAGGAAGAGATCTGCAGGCATAGGTGAGATGTCTGGCATTTGGGCCAGAATATGCAAAGGTTTCCCCTCCCCACTTGGCTTGGAACCATGAGCATCTTAAAATGCCAAGGAATGTTCTGTATATCCTTTTTCTTTCCAGGATGAATACCATAATCTATTTAATCAGCCTCTTGTTCCAAAACTAAATTATTGCCAGTGTTTTATTATTTAACAGATTATTGCAGTGATCATCTCTGTTGTTGAATTTTTGCCCTCATCACTGATAATTTTCTTGGACTAAAGTCCTAAATTTTCATTTCTTGTGGATTAAGAGTTTCTCACACTTTACTTCAGAACATTTTTAATTTAATTTAATTTTTTAAAAAAGATTTTATTTATTTATTTGATGGAGAGAGACACAGCGAGAGAGGGAACACAAGCAGGGGAAGTGGGAGTGGGAGAAGCAGGCTTCCTGCTGAGTAGGGAGCCTGATGCGGGACTCAATCCCAGGACCCTGGAATCATGACCTGAGCCGAAGGCAGGTGCTTAACGACTGAGCCACTTAGGCGCCCTGAACATTTTTAATATTTTTATGACCAATAAGTTAAGAACTATAATTCATGTTCTAATTAAAGTGAACTGCTAAATGAGTGTCATCAAATTTTATTATAAAAAATTATAAAATTTGATGAATAAACTTACCAAATAAAAAATAACAGGATAAAAAATTGTCTTTATTTTACATAGAAGACACATTGAGCAACTTATAGCAAAACACCTTTTCTGATCAGGTATAATACCACAAAACATGCAGTACCAATGGAACTTGTTTCCTAAGCATTTAAACATTTTAGATGTAAGCAGTGTTGTTATTTGTAAGGAAAATATTTTAAGAGTGGCAAAGTATGGCATAAAGATTAATAACATGACTGTGGCACCAGACTGCTTGGGTACAAATTCTAGCTCCAATATATACTAGATAATAATCACCTTAATTTCCGTTTCCTCAACCATAAAAATGGGAATAATAACAGTACCTAATTTATAGCATTGTTGTGGGCATTAATGAGTTGATGTATTTTAAGTATTTAGAAAAGTACCTGGCACATAATAAGCACTATATAAACATTAGATTTATATGCTACTGTTTGCCTATGTGGCATGTAGTTGTTCATACAGTATATAAAATACACACAGTATATACACACTGTAATATATATGTGAAAAATCTACAATATGTTTGATGGACAAGAAGCCCTAAACATCAGGAGGCTTTTTATATCCAATGGGATTTTAATTTTAAAACTACTAATAATTTACACTGGATTGGGGAGAGTCCTTGTTCTGGGTAAGATGGACTAAGCCCAGTTTACCCTGTCTTTTCCACTGAAAGCTGCTATAGAACCAGAACAGCATGCATGGAGTGCGATTTGAGGCTTTAGAAAGTAAATAGTATGGGCGCCTGGTGTGGCTCAGTCGTTAAGCGTCTGCCTTCATCTCAGGTTATGATTCTAGGGTCCTGGGATCGAGTCCCACTTCGGGCTCTCTGCTCTGCAGGAAGCCTGCTTCTCCCTCTCCCACTGCCCCTGCTTTTATTCCCTCTCTTGCTGTCTCTCTGTCAAATAAATAAAATCTTAAAAAAAAAAAAAGTAAATAATAGCAGGCCGATTGGGGAAGAAACCCAAAATGCAATGTGATTACCTTTTTTTTCCCCTCCCAGTACCTCCTAGCATGGATTCAACAAAGCACAATACCCAGAAGGGGGTTTTGGCATGGGTAAAAAGAATTGCAGGAGAAAACCTGGTTCAGGCTCAAGAAGTAGGAAGGGGATTCAATGCTCAGAGAGGGTGGATGGAAATCTACCATACAAGAAAAGTTCTCTGTTTTCTCGTGCCCTTAGACTAGCAGTGGGGTCTGCAGAAGTCTAAAATTTTGAAGGATGAGAAATTTTCTCTGTGACTGAAGAAGCTCTTACCGCCTTTTTTTCCCCTTTTTCTTTTTCTTTTTCTTTTTCCCTGCTTATGTTCGTTCCTTTCTCGGTCCCATGGGTGGATATAGTCAGGGTAGCTGCCCAGTAGAGTGGAATAAATAAGCCCCAGTCATCTGGCCAGAAGACTGAAAAGGAGAACCCCTAGGAAGTAGAAAACACTGGACAGATCACAGAGAAGGAGGAGCTTTGGAAATCAACCATATAAAGTTGTTTATGAACTCCTGAGCTCACTCTAAGTTGCTCTTGCACGTAGCTGGCCCTGAAAAGCATGCCATAGTCTGTGAGAAGTGAACTCCAGATTAGATGGCTGGCCACCTAGTACTACACCAGTAAGACAGACGTGCACATCACTTCATAGGCTTTGGAAATGGAGTGTGAACAAAGTTATCAATATTCTTTACATAAATATAATTTAAACAAGACATGGAGTCTCATAACATCCAAAATGTCAAGGATACTACCTAAAACTACTCAGCTGATGAAAATCTAGGGAAATTTCAATTCACAGGGGAAAAGATAATCACCAGATACTAACATTGATGTGACACCAGTGGTGGAATTATCTGATAAAGATTTTAAAGCAGTTATTATAAAAATGCTCCAACAAGTAAAAACTCTTAAAGCAAATAGATTGTGTCAGCAAAGAAACAGAAAATATCAATAGGAAATGAGAACTAGAATTACCAAAATAAGCTCACTGGATGGGCTTAGTGGCATTATGGAGATGACAGTGGACTTAGTGAACTTGAAACTAAATAGAAACTATCTAATCTGAAAATAGATAAAAGACTGAAGAGAGTCTCAGGACCCTGTGGGACAACACCAGAATGTTTAACATTTGTATCATTGAAGTCCCAAAAAGAAGTGAAGTGTAGAAAAATATTTGAAGAAATAATGGCTGAAAAATTGCCAACTTTAGTGAAGGACATAATTTGTAGATTCATGAAGCCCAGCAAACTCCAGCATGAGAGACAAACAAACCAACCAACCCCTTGCTTGGGAGCTTCATAGTCAGACTGCTGAAAACTGCAGACAAGGGAAAACCTGGAGAGCAGCCAGAGAAAAGTGCTGCATAATATATAGGGCAGCAGCGATTTCAGTTCTGTGGATTTCCCGTCAGAAATCATGGCGGTCAGAGGAAGTAGAACAGCTTCAAAAGTACTCAGAGGAGGGGCGCCTGGGTTGCTCAGTGGGTTAAGCATCTGCCTTTGTCTTAGGTCATGATTCCAGGGTCCTGGGATCGAGCTCCTCATCGGGCTCCCTGCTCAGCGGGAGGCTGCTTCCCTCTCTCTCCCTGGCTTGTGTTCCCTCTCTCGCTGTCTGTCTCCTTGTCAAATAAATAAAATCTTAAAAAAAAAATAAAGTACTCAGAGGAAAGAACTGTCAACCCAGCATTATCTGTCCAGCAAAAATAGCCTTCAGAATTGGAGGTGAAATAGTTTCTTATATGAAGGAAAAGTAAGAAAATTCATTGACGGATTTCTCAAAGAATTGCAAAAGGAGGTTCTTCAGATCAAAATTATAAGAAGGGAACTGGAACATCAGGAATGAGAAAGTACAACAGGAATGGTAAATATATGGGGCGCCTGGGTGGCTCAGTGGGTTAAAGCCTCTGCCTTCGGCCCAGGTCATGATCCCAGGGTCCTGGGATTGAGCCCCACATCGGGCTCTCTGCTTGGCAGGAGCCTGCTTCCTCCTCTCTCTCTGCTGCCTCTCTGCCTACTTGTGATCTCTGTCAATTAAATAAATAAAAATCTAAAAAAAAAAAAAAAAAGAAATGGTAAATATATATATGTAAATACAATACACTGTTCTGAGTTATTTAAAATATCTTCAGATATTAAAAGCAGAACTAATATCTTCACCTTACTGAACAAAACAGGATTTGAATACAGTCTGGCTTCAGAGACCATGTTCTTAACTAACACAGTATATCGAAATTAGATAAAACACAAGTAAAACTTGTTGAAATATTAAACCAAATGTTTTCCCCTGTTCTTGGCCACCTCCTCCTTCTACTCCTTTCCTATCCCTCCTTCATTATTATCTTAGGTAACAATTGAGCACTTAGCCAGGTACTGTGACTGTTAACCCCATTAAATTCTCACAATGCAGCTGTGAGGTAGCTACCAAAATAATTCCCATTTTTCATGTGGGAAAACCGAGGCACGTGCAGTTAATTAACTTCACAGGATCGTCTAGCTAGTCTGTGCCAGAGCCTGAATTCTTTGAAATAATCTGACCTTTTTGTCTGGTTTTATTCACAATTGGTATTTATTCAGAACTCATTTTTAAATGTTGATGTAAGTGAAATCACAAAGTAAGAAGTGGAAAATCTGTCAGGAACCACAGAATGGGTGACCAGCTTCACTTGCTGGTTGGTTAGGAAATTCAGCCCATGTAGCAGAACAGGTTGTGCTCATCTCATATGATCTCTTTGGATACTTCTCATCAGTGTGTTTTCCTAATGCAAACATACTTTTATGTCAAAAGGAAAAAATATTGCTAGGCATTTTTTTCCTTTCATTTTTTAGACATACTTCTTAACATCTCAGAACACTAAGATTTCTTAGACTGTATTATGGAGGTTGAAATCATGTTTATCAGGTCAGCATCCTTCCTTGAAGCTTTACCCCCCAGTCCCAGAGCTCTTTAATTTCTCCATGTAGAAAAGAGATCTAGCTTCTAACATAGATAAATACAGTTGATCTTTGATCAACATAGGGGTTGACTTTGATCTCTGCATAGAAAATCCACATATAACTTTGCTCCCCCTAGACAGGACTCCTAAGAGCCTACCATTAACTGGAAGCCTTATTGATAATATAAACAGTTGATCAGTATATATTTTACATGTTGTGGGTATTACATGTTACATTCTTACAAAAAATGAGCTAGAGAAAATAAATTGTTAAAGTCATATGGAAGAGAAAATAACACAGTACTGTACTTACTGATTGAAAAAAACTCACATGTCAGTGAACTTGTGAAGTTCAAACCTGTGCTGTTCAAGGGTCAACTACAATTTAGTACTTGATGTTCTGTATTAAATGCAGTCAACATTTATCCATATGACGGTCTCTTCTCACCACCATAAAATCGTGAATATTTGGAGAGCTAATATAACTAGGCAGAAAAGTTGTCAAGTAGCTAACTGGTTTGGACCCAGGTGTAATTATATATGTATATATAATGTGTGTATATATATATATGTTTGGGTTTTCGTTTCCCCTGTAGCATGAACAGCATTGCCCTTGACCCGTAGAGCTAGCTAAGTAATGGCATGAACACTAAGCAAGGTTATTTTTGTGTCATTTCAGGATTCAGTGACTTTCACGGATGTGGCCATAGACTTCTCCCAAGATGAGTGGGAATGGCTGAATCTTGCCCAAAGGACTTTATACAAGAAAGTGATGCTAGAGAACTACAGGAACCTGCTTTCATTGGGTAAGAGTGTCCTCCTCCTCCGCATTGGAGTCTTTTCACCTCTGTAGTCTTTTATGCCTTTATCAGCATTTCCCTGTAATATCCCTTTTCTCTCAGTACCTTTTGGACTGGTCATAACTCTGCAGTCTCCACAACATAGCCGATTTTCTTATCTTTCCTTCTGTGAAGGTCTTTGCCTTTCTAAACCAGACATAATCTCCTTACTGGAGCAAGGTAGAGAGCCGTGGATGATGGAAGGAGAGATGACAAGAGGCTTCTGCTCAGGTAAGGCAGATAATTAGAGTTGGGGAACTATTCTCAAGAGGTTTCTTCTGTTTAAACAAGAAAAAAAAAAAAGATACTTCTTCTCTGATACTTGTTGGAAAACACCTCTTAAAAATCCCTCTCAAATTGAAACTTTTTGTTCTAACACTATTTTAAGTGGATCTTCTCCACTGGTGTGACATGCCACTTTTACCTTTACTGATTTCCAGCAGACACCACAGTCTGTTTGTGAGCTCTGTTGTGTTCTGTGATGTTTACCTGGTTCTCAAGTACCATATTGTTATAATCATCTCTGATGTTCAACATTTCTGAATCCTTTTTTTTTTTTTAAAGATATTTATTTATTTGACAGAGAGAGAGAGAGATCACAAGTAGGCAGAGAGTCAGGCAGAGGGAGAGGGAGAAGCGGGCTCTTCGCTAAGCAGGGAGCTTGATGTGGGGCTCGATCCCAGATCATGATCCCTGGGATCATGATCTGAGCCGAAGGCAGCTGCTTAACCTACTGAGCCACCCAGGCACCCCTACATTTCTGAATTCTTTAGACAAATTTGTGTTTAGTTTTTTAAACTGGTTTAAGTGTTTTCTGTAAAATGTGAGCTTATCAGGTTAACGACTATTATAGCTATGCTCTTCCCTTTGCCTTTAATTATTTTTGTCTTTGGTGTTTCTGTTATTTATTTTTGCTTTGTTGTTTATGTCTGGGTTTTTTTTCCCCCTTTACACCATCCTACTCCTTGAAATGAAAAGGTTTTTAGTCCTTTTATGTCTTTATATATTTGTAAATCTGTATTTTAAATTTGATCCATTTGAAATTTAAAACATAATCACTTGATACTCATAAAGGATGAATAAATTAGGTAGCTAACTTCACCTCCTTTCTCTATGTTCATCATCTTCCCACTTTTGCTGTACTCATTGGGATTTTTGGCCCAGTTAATTTTTTAAAATTTATTTATTTTTTTCCTTGCCTTGCTTGATAGGTGTTTTTCTGGTATGAAAGCTAGATAAGAGTTTATAGATTATATGTTACAGTGAAATAAGCCTCAGGTGAGATGGTTACAGTTTATTCTGTACCTTGTAGTATGGCTTTTTCCTGCTTCTAGTTCTCAGAGGTTCAAGAAGATTTGGGTAGGTCATTTGTAGCCGTAATGGTGTATATTCATAAATAAGAAAAAATAAATAAGCATCCAACTCAGGATATTAGAAAGAACAAAATGAGTCTAAGGTAAACTAAAGTGATGTACAGTGACTTACACTGCTGGAGGTAAAAAGTAGGAGTAAATGAACTAGTAAATACTAGATATAATGAAAATCAAATTGGTGCTTCTTTAGAAAACCAATAAAATATATAAATTGTCAAATATGTAAACAAATGAAAGAAAACAAGAAAAGAAATGATATTAAGTAACTATTGACGCATAAATACTTAAAAGAATCATATAAAAAAAAGAATCATATGAATCTGTTTTCCTCAATTTTCTATAAGGAATTTGAAAACCTGGATGAGATGGGTAATGTTTTAGGAGAATATAAATTATCGTAACCTACACCAGAAGAGAGAGAAATTTTAACCAGACTGGTTACCATAGAAGAAATGTAGAAAGTTGTCTCAGAACTGCTTTCCCCAAGAACAGAAGCAACAACTCCCAATAGTTTCACAAATAAATTCTGTAAAACCTGTAAGGAAAAATATCAACATTATTTAAAATGTTCCATGACAGAGAATTTAAAAAAGAATTTTAAGAAATTATGTTTATGAAGACAACATAACATTTGATGCCAGAATATTACCAAAATAGCATCAAAAAAGGAAAATACAAATTTCAATTATGAATATTGGTACATAATTTTGAATAAGAAATCATCTTGAAATAATACGCCAGAGCCCAGAAGGGTTTATTTCAGAAATGCAAGCATGGTTGCATTGTCTAACTTTCTGTAAGAATTGTCAAAGACCTCTGTGGTCTTCAGTAATTGATTCACACGGTTTCATTTTGGAAGTTTCCATTCTTCTAGCGTTAAGTAAAGGAGACATTTGCTTTCTCAATATCTTTCAGACTTGGACTATGTTTGGATGACCAAGGAATTATCACCAAACCAGGGCATTTATGAAGAAAAATTATCCCAGGCAATGATAATGGAAAGACTTCCAAGCTATGACCTTAAATGTCCCACATTAGGGGTAAACTGGAAATGTGAAGACCTACTTAAGAGGGAGCTGGTAAGTCAGAAGACACACTTCAGTCAGGAGACAGTCACTCATACAGATGCCCTTATTGAGAGAAGAGACCACTTTAACAAATCTGGGAGAGTTTTTCATCTGAAGAGATCATCTTATCTAAAGCAGGTATTTCCCATCAAAGAGAGAATATATAATTTTGAGACCGATAATAAAAGTTTAAAAACACATTCATTTGTGAAAAAACACAAGCAAGTCTACAGAGAAATGAAACTTCTGAAATGTAATGACTGTGAGAAAACTTTCAGCAAAATCTCAACCCTCACTCTTCATCAAAGAATTCATACCGGAGAGAAACCCTATGAATGTACTGAATGTGGGAAAGCCTTCAGCCAGAGTGCTCACCTCGCCCAACATCAGAGAATACATACAGGAGAAAAACCCTTTGAATGTACTGAATGTGGGAAAGCCTTCAGTCAGAACGCTCATCTTATTCAACATCAGAGAGTTCATACTGGAGAGAAACCATATCAGTGTAAGCAGTGTAATAAGGCCTTCAGCCAGCTTGCGCACCTTGCTCAACATCAGAGAGTTCATACTGGAGAGAGACCCTATGAATGTATCGAATGTGGGAAGGCCTTTAGTGATTGTTCATCCCTATCTCATCATCGAAGGATTCACACTGGAAAGAGACCATATGAATGTGTTGACTGTGGGAAGGCTTTCAGGCAGAATGCTTCTCTTATACGTCATCGGCGGTATTACCATACTGGAGAGAAACCGTTCGATTGCATTGATTGTGGGAAGGCTTTCACTGATCACATAGGCCTTATTCAGCATAAGAGAATTCATACTGGAGAGAGACCTTACAAATGTCATGTGTGTGGGAAGGCTTTTAGCCATGGCTCGTCCCTGACTGTACATCAGAGAATTCATACCGGAGAGAAACCTTATGAGTGTAATATTTGTGAGAAGGCCTTTAGCCATCGTGGCTCACTTACTCTTCATCAGAGAGTTCATACTGGGGAGAAACCCTACGAATGTAAAGATTGTGGGAAGGCTTTTCGGCAGAGTACACACCTTGCTCATCACCAGAGAATTCATACTGGAGAGAAACCTTACGCATGTAAGGAATGCAGCAAAACTTTCAGCCAGAATGCTCACCTTGCACAACATCAGAAAATACACACTGGAGAGAAACCTTATGAATGTAAGGAATGTGGTAAGGCTTTCAGTCAAATTGCACACCTTGTTCAACACCAGAGAGTTCACACTGGTGAGAAGCCTTATGAATGTATTGAATGTGGGAAGGCCTTTAGTGATGGCTCCTATCTTGTCCAACATCAGAGACTCCACACCGGGAAAAGGCCATATGTATGTCTTGAATGTGGAAAGGCATTCCGACAGAGGGCGTCCCTGATTTGTCACCAGAGGTGTCATACAGGCGAGAAACCTTATGACTGTAATGTTTGTGGGAAAGCCTTTAGCCATCGTAAATCTCTTACTCTACATCAAAGAATTCATACAGGAGAAAAACCTTATGAGTGTAAGGAATGTAGCAAAGCCTTCAGCCAGATTGCCCATCTTACACTTCATAAGAGAATTCATACTGGAGAAAGGCCCTATGAATGTAAAGAATGTGGGAAAGCCTTCAGGCAGAGTGTACATCTTGTGCATCATCAGCGAATTCATACTGGAGAGTCGTCCTCAATTATTCCCTCCTCCTCACTCCCATACCACCAAGTCCTCTAGATTCAATCTTCTGATTGTCCACTTTTTTCCAGTCTATGTCCTATCATCATAGTCCAAGATGAAACCATCTCATTTTTATTTTTACCATAGTGTTACAGCCATTATCCCTCTTGCACCCCTCAAGTGCATTTTTAACACTATAGCCAGCGTAATCTTTTAAAAATAAAAATCTGTGTTACTTTCCCATTTAAAACATTTGTCTTTAAGAATAAGTTGGTCCACCTAAAGGGCTTAGCGCACAACCGTTGACGTATAATTAGTGCCATTAAGGTAAAGGTTTCCTTGCTGTCATGTTCAGCTGCATGCAAAGTCTAGTAGTTCAAGGCTAAGAAGCCTATACATTTTAGAGAAGACAAAGGATTGTCTGCGTTCCTAGGAGGTAGAAAAATGAACACATTCAGAATTGAAAGAGTCTGTGATGGACAAGATAACATGTTGGCTTACCACTCCCTCCGAATGAATAAATACAAGGGTTTGTAGCACTGCTGATGAGGGACACTCACTTTCCCCGGCGCTTAGCAGTTAGACTAGGCCCGTTAGAACAAAGGCATTTGGTAGCATGTAGGACTAGCTAGGTATTAAAAACAAACTAAAGTCAGCAAGCAAGAAAACTTGAACAGATTAATAGCCAGGAAATAAACAGAAAAAAGTAGTTTAACACTTTCACCTGTAGAAAAGCACGGACAGTTCCTGTGATGTTTGAATTGTTCTAGAGCATAAAATAAATACAGCAAAGCTTCCCGTCTTACTCTCTGAGACTGACAAGAGTGGTACCAGAAGAAAAGCACATATGCTGCATTTAGCTTGTGAATGTAGATGTTAAAACTTAAGCTTACTTTTTAAATATTAAAAGGTGGAGTAAGTGGAAAGCTAGACCTTCTTTGTAAAATAGAAAGACTTTGGCAAAGATATTTCTCCTTGTGTTAAATCTGTAAATTAATCAATAGTCCAGTAAAAATCCCAATATATTTTTAAGTTGACAAGCTGATTCTGACTATCTATGGAATATAGGATTGTGGTATAATAGTGAGTATAATAGTGAGTGAGTGAGTACTACATGTCTTACTATACTCACTTAACATTAACTGAGCATTTACTAACATGTTCCAGGCCCTGTGTTGGGTGCTGCGGATAGAACAGAGTGCAAAATATGCAAGTTTTTGCCCTCACAGACCTAGTAGGAGAAGACAGACAAAGTTGAAAGTCATACTATGTGAAAAGTGTGCAGTATGACCATGACGAGAAATTACTGAGAGAGGGAGCTAGGGAGTGATGGCAAGGAGTGCCTTACTGTTCCCGAACATATGGGCATTAGAAGCAGTTAGAAGAAACTGTTTGATACAATGGGTATAAGTTAGTCCTATGGTAGATAATTATGCTTTTGGTGTTGCAGGAAGACAGAACTGATGGTTTTAGAAGGATCATGAACATTCTCTTCACACTATCGATAGTGATTTTCGGGTCTAGTGGAGGGTTGTTTGCTTGTTTCTGGTTTTTGTAACCTTATTGAGATACAATTTACGTACCATATAGCTCACCCATTTAAAGTGCACGATTCAGTGACTTAGTATGTTCAGATTTGTACAACCGTTACCACATTTCATTACCCAGAAAAGCCTACCCGCACCCCTGGAGGAGTACTCTTACTTGGTGCTTTTGGGTTCTCTCTTCCGACTTGCCTGTGGCAGTATAGAAGGCCATGGGGCGGGGGCTCTTATCTAGAGGGCATGAGTGCTAGAAAATGGAGCTTTGGGATTCTCTTGACTTGGGGATAGAGACTAGGGGTTGGGTGGTCCTATTAGATTCCCCTTATGTATGGTAAAAAGGATTTTTCATTGCTGTGGGAGGAAGATGGATTAATCAAATGGTGTTGGGACACTTAGCTCTATGGAAAGAACATACCTTGTACACTAATGAAGCTCTGAAAGATCTAAGTACAATATTAGAGTACAAGAAAAACATTATTTCTATAATTTTGAGGTGGGCCTTCTTAAATATCACACATAATCCAGGAGCTGACATTAAGATAACATTTATATGTGGAAAATATCAGAGTCAAAGTCAAATATACAAATACGAGATTGAAAGAAAATACTTGCAAACCAACATAACGAAGGATAATAATCCCTGATATTCAGAGCATTACTACAAATAATAGTAACACCAGCAATTCAGTAGAAAAATGGACAAAGCTAGTGGCCCGTTCAAAGAAGATGAAAAACAGCTAATGGAAATGACTCACTATCACTAGTGATCAAGGAAATGCAGAATAAAATGATGTTATATCTACTTTTTCCCCCAAAAGATTGATTTTAAATAATAGAAAAGTGATTATATCTAGTGACTGTGTCAAAAACAGTTCCATTGTCGGGCGCCTGGGTGGCTCAGTGGGTTAAAGCCTCTGCCTTCGGCTCGGGTCGTGATCCCAGGGTTCTGGGATCCCGCCCCGCCTCGGGCTCTCTGCTCTGCGGAGAGCCTGCTTCCTCCTCTCTCTCTGCCTGTCTCCCTGCCTACTTGTGATCTCTGTCAAATAAATAAATAAAATCTTAAAAAAAATTAAAAAAAAAACAGTTCCATTGTCGGTTATATAAATTTCTGTGTGTATATACCATTTTAATCATTATTACTCAGAAACCAAAGTGCACAAATGTAGGTAAATGTATAATGGCAAAAATAATTTTTGATGGTGAACTCAGTAGAAACCATTCGGGTGCTGGGTAAATGGATAAGTTAATTATGGTGTATTCATTCAGTAGAATTAAATGCAGCTGTTGAAAAAAGCTATAAATGTATATAGACATAGAAGGATGGTTGTATTATGCTAAATGAAAAACATTTCCCGATCTTTAGTATAAACTCATACCAAAAATAAAACTTAAAATATGTATTTTTCTGTTTTTCTCTGCCCTGTTTTCCATTCCTTCTTTCAAGGACACCATCTCTTCTTTTCCTTCGAGCAGCTGACCATACTGTACCATATGGTGTTGATGGTCTTGGCTAATCAGATTCTCTCTGGAGTTTGCAAGGCGGTTGGATCTGTGTCATCTAATGGCAGCTCCCTAAAGGGATGACGCTGGTGTTCTCATGGCTGAGATCTTTGGGGTCACTCTAGCTTTTGGGCTTTCTAAGGCTGTAATTCTGCAAACTACCCACTACACTATCCTTCAATTCTTCATTTTTTACCTGTATCGCACATTTGCTTGTAATTAAAGCAAGTTAACCAATACAGTTTGGTATGAAGATTGGGTGATAGGCTGTAGAATCTTTGGAAAATTTTAGGTATTAGGGATTGGTTTTAAGTGAGATGGCGCAAGTAAGAGTCCTGTTTCTTTTCTAGCATAAGAAAGTGAGAGCTCATGGTGTGCACGGGGTAAACATTGAAGTAAATTATTATTTGTAGTCACCTGAGATGAGTGGAGGTCAGGGATCCTGGATTATGGCAGTTTAAAGAGGAAGAGGACTGCTAAGTCCAAAGAGTGTATATGATGCTGGTATCTAATTGCTTTGGGTAATTTAAAACTCAGATCTTGAACTTCCACCATCAAGGCAAAGAATTTCAACTAAGGATATTTGTATGATATTGTTGAAAATGTCTTATGCTAGTTGAAGTCATAGGGTTAAGAGGGCATAGGGCACAGAATCCTCATGAATGGGATGTCAGGCCAACTCATAGAGTGGAGGGGCCACACTCCATCCCTTGTGTCCTCAAAACCAGCTTCACACCTGGCACATGCACTGAGAGCCTGTGATATTGGTAACGCTGTCTGACAATAGGTCCTCTCTCTCTACCTGAAAGTAGGACGTCACCTATCTGGCATCTGTGATGCTCAGGGCATCCCCCAACAGACAAATTGGCTCTGATTTGCTCCTGCATTTTTTGGGCTGGGTAATTTGTGGATTATTCAAACAAAAATGAACCCCATCATGGAACCAGTACTCGTTAACTAGGAGTGCATACGACATCCTAAGGAGTGGGCAGAGGTGCACGGCACCTGGACCCACAGACCTGCCTGCGGCATCACCAAACTCCTGCCTAGAGTTGGCCGGTGTCATGAATCCTGATCTAGGAACTCTGGAAGGAACAGGCTCAGCCAGCAGCCCCCACAGTTCCTCCCAGGCTGCCCTCCCCTGGGTCCATTTACCCTTCCCACACACAGAAGAGCAGCAGCAGCAGTAGTATCTCTGCGTTGAAGGAACCAGGTACCTGCCTTGGTACCATCTGGTTCCCAGAGTTTTTCCTTCAGGGAATGGGAAAGGCAGAGAGTGTTAGCCTCCAGCCGTTAGCCTCTGGGGGAGGTGGGGATGGTGACTGGGCCCAGAAGAGGAACTTCAGACCCTCAGGGCCTTAGGGCTTGGGCAGCTCTGGAAGAGCCTCTAGTCCCACCTCCCTTGGTGCCTTAGTTTGCGAGGGTGTCATAACGAAATACCGCTTAACCACAGAAATGTGTGTCCTCACAGATTGAGGTGTGGGCAGGTAGGTTTCTTCCGAGCCCTCTCTCCTTGGATTGTAGGTGGTCACCTTCTCTCTGTGTCTTTATGTGGTCATCCCTCTGTGCTGTTTGTGCCCTAACCTCTCTTTCCTCGTAAATTGCTGGTAGGAATGTAAAATGGTACAGCTATTCTGCGAAACAGTGTGGCAGTTTGTTTAAACAAGGAAAAACTAAAAATGCAAATACCATATGACCTAGAAATTGGACCCCTGGGCATTTATCACAGAGAAACAAAGATTTATGTTTACACAAAACCTGTCACAAGGAAACAACAGTGAGAGGGCAATCTATGGAATGGGAGAATATTTGCAAACCAAGTATCTGGTAAGGGTTAATATCCAAAATATACATGATTTTACCACAATGAAAGAAAAGGGCAAAAAAAAAAAAAAAAAAAAAAAAACCCACCTGGAATATCCCCAAACTGAAAATATCCCAGATGTGATACCCAAATTGTGGTGTCAGTACCATGGGGTGGAATCTGGCAACAAAGTAATAAACTGATACGTTTAACAGTTTGG